TCCAAATTAATTACTACATAGTGGTACTTCTCATTTAATTCCTACACCATTTTCCCAATAATATTCTCTCTCCCATACAACCTCCCTCACCCATATGAACGAATCATCCCCCCCCTCAATTTCATCACCCACCGCCTCCATCTTTCTCTTGTCTTTATTTTTCTCATAGATTTCAATTTTTAAAATCTAGATCTAGATTTCACCCTTTCTCCTATCTTCAATTCAAAATCTATTTCTTCTATCTTCAATTCGAAATCTCTTTTGACTGGCGAAATTGATATAGACGGTGCCGATGTGTTTGCTCGCTCTACTACTTTGCAGCCTTGTACGAGTGAACAAACAAATCTAGTTGTTCCAGATGTCCCTCCTCGTATTCTTGTAGCAAGAGAAGCAGACTGGTCCGACACTGTGCGAAAGAAGAAAATTAGATTTGATGATAAAAAAGATAGAGAAGAAGGACATGGTTTACAAGACTTTTTTTATTTCCAGGAGACTTACAAGATGAGACTATTCAAGATTCACTAGCAAAAGTCAGTTTATTGATGACCATGAAACATGTAACTTTTTACTTATGTTTAGTGAAATGTGATTCATGATTTCTTTGTTGATTTCTGATTACATACTTAGGGATTTTAATACCAGGATTTTGAAAAATGAAGTTGAGTTCTAAAATAAGGAATTTGATTTTTAAGAACTTGCACGAATTTTTACTATGTGGGAAGTCTGGATTTATTTAGTGAACATGCATCCAAACTTGAATTACTATGTAAGAAGTCTTAACTAATTAAAAAACTACATGTGAAAAGCTCACATAGGAATTTTGATCATTTACAAAGTAGGAACAATGATTCTTCATAAAATAGGAATAATACTCAAAGAAGCATGATATGAACATCACAACCTTAAAATAATTACACTGCCTTCACACAACAACAAAAAATAAGGCTTCTTTAACTATCACTTTAGGCCTTCAATAACAAAAAATAAAGTCACCTTCACTAGCAAAACCCCAAATCTGCCTTCACTCTCAAGTGTTATTTGTGCCTTCACCCACAATCAAATTTATCTCACCCTCCATGAGATTGCTTCATTGCTACTGGTGTCTTCAATGAGATTTTTTGGGATATCAATCTGAACGGGTAGTTGCCCCAACCTATCTAAATTTCTTTGTGTTTGTGTGGATTTTTATAGTTATTACCACCCTTGATTTTCAATACTTCTAACATAACATATTGAAGATGCAACCAAGTCTAGTTTAATAGCTTAGGTTCAAAAGCATGAAATGCTTCATCAACAACACTCACTGATTCATTCACATCTTTTGGAAAAAGCCTTGTATTGAATAGATTGTATACCTAAGAAAACCAAGGTCAAACACATTAATATCAGAACTTTGAGCTGGCTGACAAGTCAAACTGATTTTAAACCCAAAAGAAGTTGCAACCTCAATGAATTTTTCATCATTCACACTAATATGAAGCCTAATATTATCTTGTTGAATTCATATATCTTTGCATGCATTTGATGGCCTTTCCCCCCTTATTGCTGGTAGTAATGAATCTATCATTTTGACCTGATTATTTCTTTGGTCACACTTTGTATCGCTTTTGTTTCCGGGATACCGACTATTCTATTTCCTGAATTTATTTGTGCATATACCACCTCCGTGAATGGAAACCCCCAACTTTGCCATCCCATAGTGTCTCACCTTCAACTGAAACTTGTGGTCTGCCAACAACAACCAAAAACATCACTTTTCTAATGAGTTTTTCGTTTTGACAGCTTCTATATGGCTCTTCCTCCCAAGGAAACAAGTAAAACCTTTGTGTGTTGTTGTGACATGTAGAACCACTTCTCATCTATATGAATAACATTGTACATTGACGAAAACTTAGGGATTGTATGAGGTAAGACTTGACCCATGATGTGTTGTAGGTGCTTTATCATGGGTGAATGACTTGGTTTAGGCTTGATGTTATTTGCATGAGCTCCAATTTGTCCCGTTTTTAGTAACCGATAGACCGCTGAGTGACTGATTCCAAGTGAAGTAGATAAAGATCTAATTGTTGTTATGTGCTCAAGGGGTACAACATGAAGTGCCTCTAAATTAAAAGGTTGGCCTTTTCTTCCACTCCTTCCCTTTTTCTTATTTTGAACATTAATCAGTGTACCCCTATCAACTTGAATTTTGTTGCAGACCATAATCTCGACACTGTTGTTCTTTGAACTTTAAATTCTGCTGCAATATGTGATTTGACATCTTTGGGTATAGTTTTTCCATCTTCCAAAACTAAAAGTTTTTCCACTAGGTGCTTCCTTTCATCATTTTTCATACCTAACCTTTTCTAACTATTAACACTTCTTCCTCACTTTCAGTTTCAAAAATTAAAGAAGAAAATGTTTCAACATCAGAGTCAACATCGAAGTCACCAAACCTCGAATCTTTCTCCAATTGAAGAAGCTCATCATCGAAATTTGCTCATCCATTGGGATCCTATGCAGTGTGTGGTGTGTTTTGTCTGAAAGAAACTTGAAAGAAACTGTGAATTGTAATTACCCGTATGTGGCATAATAACTAATGTAATAACTGGAGGGAAATTTATTTTTCTTTTGGCCTTTTGAGTTCCCTCCAAATCTGAATTATCAAAGGCTGCCGGACAAGGGTCTTTTATTTTGATGGCTTATAGTTGTGTATTTGAAGTAATGGCTTAGTTGTACTATTTTAAATTGCAATCATTCTTGTTGTACCCACCCTTATACCCACCTTATAATCACCATGTTTGTGAGGATTTTTTGTCTATGAATATGGTTCACAAACAAAACATGCCTTATTTTGTCTGTGCAAAATTTGCACAGACATATTTTGAAAAAAGTTTTGCACAAATATGGTAGGTATAAAAGTGGTTATAAGGGTGGATACAAACATCTTTTTTGTTTAAATTATGTGTAGTACGACATGGATCTTTTATTGTGCGGTGTAAAACTTCCCTTTGTACTATAGCACCTTTATTATACGAAACACTTCTACGGGTGGGAACTACTAACTCTAATGACTTTATTGGAATGAATATTACTTTATTGGTGTTTCTTAATATGTGTGTCCAACCTCATGTTGTAAGAATTCTAGAATGGAGGAAGTACTTCTTATTTATTGGTCTGAAATAAATGGTAGGGGAGGAGAATCTTATTGCTTTGTCTCCATACCAATTATTTTGGTAGGAGGGTCTCCCAAGGTGCACTCTCTCTTGTCCCCCAAATCAAACTCCCACATACCTCACTATTCTTGACAACAAATACACTCATGCCTGATATTTTTGTGGGGTGGCCCATATTAAGGTGGACGATCATTCCATTACTTATTAACAGTATTTTTTATCCATAAATGATACCTTCCAAACGGTTTTAATTTGTACTTATTTTATTATACCAAATTAGTTATATATTATTCTTTCCATTATTTTGGTTTCTTAGAATAGATATATCTCCAATGTTAATTTGGTAGCCTTTCGAATTATTAACATCTTGATTCTTAAGAATTTGCAATCATTGGACAGTGCCCCGGCCCCCACTCAGCTGTCGCATTGTTGTTCTTGATATCCATGGGGCCCATGGTCCATTCCTACTATCATATAGTATTATTATAAGTGGTCCCCGAATAGCTAGGGTGGTCCCTGCTCCCGATGTGAGTGCCACACGAAATTTAGCTCATTGGTAAAAGCTAAATCGTAAAAATAAATCTACCGCCACTTCCTATAAAGGTGTCACGTCTGATTCACCCAATGTTATAGGTGAACATTTTCGGGGATGATTTTGCACCTACTCCCCAATGTGGGTCCCACAGCCGGTTTAATAACCTTCTTTAACTTCATATTTGATAAAAAAAAATTGTGGTTGAAATTTGGGTCTTGTTTACATCATCAGTGGTACAAGTAAGAAAATTACTTGTCATAGATAAAGGTAATTCGATGATGAAGAAGACATGGGAAGGTTGACTCCTGAGAATTGCGAAAGATAGCTGATTAGCCGAATATGTTCAAAGTAAGTCATATTATTAAATTTAATATTAGAGGGTAGTACTATAGGAGCGTCGTATATTAATGTACTACTACTAGTATATAATAAATACATAATCTATTACTAGTAATATATACCCCATCCCATTTTGATTGTCTTACTTTCTTTTTTGGGTTGTCTCAAATTAAATTTTATGTTTTCTTTTTTAGCAACAAATATGTGACCCTTATCATTTCACTGTATTCTACTCAAATCTCAACCACAACTTTTACTTTTCAACAACTTTATTAATAATCGTGTCAAATTGAAACTTGACAACCAATATGAGACAGAGGTACTATTATGTATAAGTTAATTGTGCAGGTCGAATGATGTTGCAGGAAACCGTATGCGAAATAAACGGGCGGGTACGTATAAAACCATAATTACCCCATTGCCCATTTACATAAATTGATCATTCCTCGACTCATACCCATTACAGAGTCAAATCAATTTTTTCCATTTCGACCGATTCGGTTCAATGCTGTATCCATTGAATTGCCATCCCTATTTGTACTCCATATTATTTAAGAACTTTGTTTCAATAAAAAATGCATCGCAACACATTTTTTTATTTGGCCAAATACTATATCTCTTCAAGAAAAAGACTAATTGCTTAAATTGATAGAGGATGCCATGGAAGCAGCGTCTCTGCCTGGCTTTGGCAGTCAAATACGGTGTCCCGCTAGTGTCTATCGTGAGTATCGTCTGATAAAATAAAAACAAAGTCACAGCAGTTCACTTTTCACGTATTTTGATGCTCTCCTTTCCAATCCAACCATTTGTTCCGCGCCAGGCACTCCACCATGCGTTAGAGGATCCTAATTCGTGTGTTATAGGAGTTTTTTCTTAGATTCAGTTCCATACAAAACATGAGTTTTATCTCCATTTTAATTGGAACAAATCAACAAATTGGGGTGAGGGGTAGTTTGGATTACTGGCTAATATCCATCCAATCAGAGAAGTGGGTGCTTGAGGCACTGATACACTAATAGGATATCAATAATGTTCCATAATAGACGTACCAGTTAGGTGGAAAGCATAATATTGACACATAATATTGACCAAAACTTGCAATGAACACAATTACACAGAGGTACAATAATTCAGCAATGATCAGTTTGAAAGTGGGAAAAAAGTATCACACACATATACATTCTTCATCCTGCTTTCTCTTCAATACCTTATACCTCCATGGCTCCATCTTCTCCAGCATGAGATTGATTCAACTCGATACGATCTAAATCCCCAAAATAAAACCACAGTAACAACATTATTATGAGCATCAATGTGACCTTTTCGTCTTTTTTGTTTTGTTTGGTAAAGAGCTAAATGAGTAGTGACATAAACGGTTCATCACAGTATTACCATACCTTTGCACTTTGCGGATCGTTCTTCTTAAGCGCTGACTTTATGTAGAGGACTATCACGATTACGAAAGCCACAATAACAATGGGTGTCATTATAATGCCGACTGCCTTGTTTATATCAAAATTATCTGTCCCAACACAAATATATGAACATATAGTGTAAGTTTGTGTTATTTCCCTTTTTTCTCAAATATCAAAATCAATTTAGTACTAGGGGTGAGCATGGGAATGTACGGGACACGACTATTTCGAAAAACCTATCCCGTCCCAAAGAACGGTTCTTTTCAAAATAAAAAAACCGGTACCGTCTCGAATATATATAGAACATGTCCCGTTTCGTACCGACAATCAGTACAGTTCGGTACGCTTCTTTAGAACTATTCGATTCCTAAATAATTAACTAACACGAAGTCACACATAATTTAAGTTTAAGCATTTATAAGCAAGTTATTGTACAAATATTTAAGAAAAATGTCTAGCTAGAAGATTGAAAAATCTATATTAAATAACCTTGTGCAATAAAAAATACAAAACTAATACTCAAACTATAATAAAATTATAGTTCTTGTCTTCTGTAGGATTCAGGGTGACCAAGTTGCTAACAAAGTAACTAAATTAGGTTTACGTGTTTACTTGTCCCGAATAATAATTGTATTGCGGACCCAAATAATGTGCATTATATTGTCTATACCAAAGTTTTGAGTAACCACAATGAGATTGTTAGCTAATATAATATATAATACGGAGTATAATATATACTCCATATATATTACTCCGAATTTCGTATAACCAATCTTCAGGCCAATACAAGACGGTTGGGGATATTCGCTTAAAAACGGTTTTGGAATGGTTTCGAGACTGTTCTGACTTAAGGTAGTGAACGGGAAATTCCAAATATGCCCTCAGCCCTAATGAGTACTGACCTGGTAAGACGTGTTTGGAGAAGGCAAAACTGTAGCTCATATAGCACCGTTGGAGATATATATTGGCCGAATCAGTGCCATTACCACATAGTCTTCTGGACAGCGCCGTTGCATTGTCCAAACACGCCGCACAATCATTTCTCCCCAAATCGCCTTCACATTGACCCATCAAAGTCAACGACCCGTCCACGAAGTCAGAATCCTGTTTGCCGTCCCCGCCGAAGCTTCCAGAGTAGAACCGATTCCCGCTCGCTTTAACCTGCTTCGCCATATCCTTAAACGCCGCGGCCAGAACGGAAGAGGAGGCCCGACCCGATTTCGGCCCGCACTCCTTGAGGAGTAAATGGGTCGAATCGACTTTCTGTTTGGATGATACCTCGAAGTTGACGTAACACCCGACCAGCTGGATCCGGCCCGCGACCGAGTCGCCGCCGCAGATCATCTTATACTGATTCGAAGCTTCCTCCACGCAGACGCTGCAATCGGAGGGAGAGAGGTCGCCTCTGCACTGGAAGAGACCGGAGACGGCGCCGCCCCTGGCGGTGGCTCTGCTGAAATTCGCGGATGAGGACTTCGAATACAGGGTTTTACAGAGGCCGTCGAGGGTTCGGGAGAAATTCTGATTCCCGTCATCTAGTTTCTTCTGTGAGCAGCCTTTTAGGACAATGGCATTATAATCCTCCAAACACGAGCAAATAACTGCGAATGAAGTGATCAGAATCATCAACCCCGGGAAAATTTGCGGGGGAAATTGAGATTGTCCCATTCTGTAGAAATTCCTCCGGTTTCTTAGTTCGAATTTTTCCAGACCGTAAGAAGAAAAGAAAAAGAAACTACCAGGAAATAGGCAGCTAAAGCATAGTCAATATTTTTGCATTAGCTTTTTGTGAGGTCGTCTGTCTGATGGCTGATGCGGGAATTTGGGTACGAAAGGGTTTTCTCGCAGGGAAGACAATATGCCATTCTAAACGTTCTTTTTAGTAATCACATCTTTATCTTTTTGCATGGTTCAAAAGACCGGTTAGGGTCCGTTTGCAACGCTTTTAAAAAAGTGCTTTTTTTTAATGAAATGAGAAGAAGTGATTAAATAAAAGTTGATAGTGTTTGAGAAAAAAGTGATTTTGAAAAGTAAAAGTGGGTATTGTTTGGTAAAATAAGTGCTTTTTGTGTAATAGAAAAAGTAAAAGCACTTTTGACACGGAAGCCAAGAAAAATAAAATTTGTGGGAAAATAAGTATTTTTTCAATCAAATGCATGATAGGTACGGTACCCCCATTTTTTAAATGGGTACCGGAGTTGTCACCTTTTTTTAAAATCAAAAGCTGAGAAGTGCCTTTTTAAAAGCAGTTCCAAACCAATCCTTACTGTTAGACGGCTACAAAAAAATTGTGATTCCCGAGTAAAACTTTCTATCACAATACCAACTATCATTCCCCTGCCATTTGTATTATGAAAGTTTTATTAGGAACACAGAAAGTATAATTCATTTAAAATCAATTTTATTAACCTTTACAATTGATTATACTTTGAGCATGATATAGTCGAGTATGTTTGTTATATGTGAAACTTTAAGGATGTTTTCTTTTGGACTGTTTTCAGTCCCAGACAAGACCAGACAAGTCAAGACTTCCGTAGATATAAAATACACAGAGACCAAACGTATACCAGACCAGACCAGTTCAACAAACCAGATCAGATCAGACCAGATCAGACCAGACCAGCAAATTTCAGTCAAAAAGAAAACATTCTAAGACCGCGAACACAACTCTCCTCTTTATGTTCTGGTCATTTTTTTAATGGTTTGACCAACCGTCTTCTTCATCAAGAAGACCCCCCGCGGCCCCGCCTTCTATTATCCTTATCGCCACACTCGATCGATCAGAAATCCACGACGCTTAAGTCATTCATCCTCATCACTAAATAGTGTCGGATATGGTGATCATATTCTCATAATCTTAGGGGGTGTATTCATTTGATGAGTCATTTTAAGACATATTAGGATTTTTGGACAGTCTTGGTGTACGTATTTAAACAATGCATTTTAGAACTCAGCTCCCTGCAAGTCTTGGGGTTTATTTAAAAGTGGACACTCACACAAGACTTGGATTCTATTTAAAATTTGGACTTATCCAGACTTATAAGACCATATATAGCAGAGATTTCATGTCTCAAATCTCACCTCCTAACATCAGATTTGGAATCTGATGGAAGATGGGATGAACGTTTGGAACATAAAATAAGATATGATCAAGTCAAATGCAAAGTCTGTTTCATAGTCTGTTTGACGTAATTAGAGTTTTTGATTCAAAATTTGGTGCATAAGGTACTCATACCGTAATATTTTGGACAGAAGCCTGACTATGAGTTTTTGAACTTAAAAAAAATCTTTAGAACCAATATGAGGGTGATTTACCTAAAAACGGGGGTGATTTACCTAAAAACGGGGAAAATGGGTTGGGGTTGCCAAAAGACGGGGATTTTTTTAGGTTTTACCAAAACAAGGGAGTCGGATTGCCCAATTCCGATTAGAATTTAGGTTTTCGAAAAAAAATTCCTCTCCCCCTAGTCGGATTACCCAATTCCGACTAGAAGTTAGGGTTGTGAAAAAACATTTCCCCTCCCCCTAGTCGGATTACCCAATTCCGACTAGGTTTTTTTTTTTTTTCGAATTTTGTTTTTGATTTTGAGTTGTAAAAAATAAAAGTTTTAGGGCTAAATTCTATCAATTCCAAATTTAAAAGTTTTTTTTAGGCTATTTGTAAATTCTATCAATTCCAAATTTAAAAGTTTTTTTAGGCTATTTGTAAATTCTATCAATTCAAAATTTTGAATTTTAAGGCTATTTGTAAATGTAGCAAACTTTCTAAGTTTCAAGTACTTTATAGCTAAATCTTACTCTAAAAGTCCAATTTCACAATCTAAATTAAAAATTCACAAATTACAAAATTAACTACTTGTACACTCCTTAAATTGAATTTTAAGGCTATTTCTAAATGTAGCAAACTTTCTAAGTTTCAAGTACTTTATAGCTAAATCTTACTCTAAAAGTCCAATTTCACAATCTAAATTAAAAATTCACAAATAACAAAATTAACTACTTGTACACTCTTTAAATTGAATTTTAAGGCTATTTCTAACCACTTGTACAAAATCGAAAATTAACTAACGTGAAAAGGCTGATCCCAAAGGTTTGATAGCTTGATTCCTCTTGAGATTGAGTAATGATATAGTATTGATAAAATTCAAATAGAGTAGAATAAAGATGTAGTAGTTCTAAAATTGGGATGAAATAATATGTATTTATAATAAAATGTGGGGAAAACTATCAAATAGGTCCTTGAACTTTCATATTATCTGATTAATTTTATCTGTTTAATTTTATCTGATTAAATTTATCTGATGTAATTTATGTGAACAAAAAGTTCATATACAATGAAAAAGACCCAAAAAAGAGAACAAATATTTCATTATTACTTGCATGCAAAAAATAAAACCAACAAGGTATACATTACAATATCACTCATTTCCTCTCCCTGTCGCATGCAAATCCATTTCATTGGTAAATCGAGTTCTCTGTGGCCTACCGACTCGAGCCGATCTGCTGTTTGTGGGCGGGAGAAGTGTATGCTGTGTTTCTGCCATGGCATTGACGTAATTATTAATAGGCATAATATTAGAAGCGTACGTCCGGATGTACGCATTTAACGAATACACATATGGGATGAGGCCGTCTACGGTTATTTTTAGAAATCGACAAACCGCATACGCGTGAACACATGGCAGCCCATTCTGCTTCCAATACCCGCACCCACATTCCTGCCTTGACAGATCGATTGTCACTGGATCATGCGAACTAATAGCTACAGAGTAAATTCCCGTTGTTCGATTGTGCGGGACAATAGTTGTGTGATACCTACGCTGTGACCGCTCAAGAACAACCTTCCATATGTTCTGTGGATACAAGAATCCAGCTTGGTGCCACATTAGTCCCACATGTCGTCGATTGGCAAATAGCTGGACGACTTTATCGAACATGGCCTTTACTAATGCTGTGATAGGCAATGTGCGACATCCCTTTAAGACATTGTTAAAACTTTCAGAAAGGTTTGCCGTCAAAATGTCATATCTTTTGCCATCGTCATAGCTCAGGGCCCACATCTCAACAGGAATCTCATTCAAATATAAAAAGGCATTCTCATTTATGCCTCGTAGTTGTTCCATACAGTCGTGAAATTCCTGTTCTGGTGGAAGTGCTACCAGCTTGCCAACATAATTTTTTCAGTTCCGCGTTTCTAAACTTGGTCATAAAATTACTCCGTATGTGACGGAGGCAATAACACTTTGAAACTTGTGGCGATCTCAACTCTAGCAATGATCTAAATGCACTTTCAATTCCTGCATGACGATCGGAGATAATGCACACACTACGATGACTTCCAACCACATCACGCATAACCCTTGCAAAGTACCACGACCAACTGTCAGCATTCTCACTCTCAACAACAGCATATGCAAGAGGAAATATCTCACGGTTAGCGTTCATGGCTACCGTAACTAGAAGAACCCCCTTGTATTTGCCATATAAGTGAGTTCCATCAACCGAGAGCGATCAAGCGTCCATGATAGCTTCCCGGATTTGAAAACTGTACAGCTTCCAACAACATAGGAAGTTTATTATATGACGCCTCCCAATTGCCGAATTTACGCTCCAGAGCGATCAAGCGTCCATTCCAAGCTTTTTTATATGAAACATGGATATCAAATTTTTGATATATGTCTGACATTAACAGTTTAATGCTGTAGTCCCGGTCGACTTTCACTTTTGGAGCGATTTCACTCGCTATGAGCTTGGCTGTTAGGATCTTATCATCCCGAGCCGTGACGGGATCCTCCCTACAACTGTGATGGGGTTGATATTTTTTTACTTTCCACTTTGTTGAAGTCATAGCTGCTGCTGCTTGGATATGCCAAGTGCAAATAGTCGGGTTTATGCAAACCGCCTTCCAGGACCGTGCCCTTTTGTCAACCGATTGGAATTGACGAAATTGACGAATGTTTTCTCTCGCCACCGCTTCTTTGAGTGCATCATATGACGGGTAAACTGCGCCGACTTCGATCCTTTCAGACTCGGAATCTAGCTCATATGGTTCTTCTAGCTCTACATTGGCCCAGGTGGTGTCTACTTCATCGTCTGCATCATCCCTCGTGGATGAATCCACATCACCACAAAAACCTTGTTCATTGTCTGGGTCGTCCGACTCTTCACCTGAGTCTGCATGAATTCATATGACTTAATGGGTTAGATTTTGTTTAAAGGCGTTATATTATAAAATGTGAGTTTATCTAATTGAATGAGTTAAAAATTACTAAGATAAATACTTCTAAACAAAATAAATTTTTTTCTATAAAAAAGACCGTAGAATTTGAGAATTCCGACAACATTAAAATCCATATTTTATTTACATTTAAAATCTGACTGGAAGAAGTTTTTAGGGGGAAATTGGATTCAATACAGTTGGACTCCACTTTGTACAGATAACAAAGTCAGAATTGCTCTATCCGACTGGAACATTTTTTTTTTAAACATTTTAATTTGAGAGCACCTAAAATAGGAATATAAAATTTGTATTTGACAGCGCGCACTTTGAATTTATTAAAGTCAAATTTATTAATTAAAGCAATACAATTTTTTTAAAAAAAATATCCTAGTCAGATTCCCCAATTCCGACTAGGTAGTTGGATTTTTTTTTTAAAAATTAGTGTCCGATTTATTAAAGGAAGGAATCCAATTTTGTTTTTAAAAAAAATACCCTAGTCGGATTCCCCAATTCCGACTAGGTAGTTGATTTTTTTTTTTTTTAAATTAGAGTACCATTTATTAAAGGAAGGATAGATTGCAATTTGTGTTTTTAAAAAAAATACCCTAGTCGGATTCCCCAATTCCGACTAGGTAGTGGATTTTTTTTTTAAATTAGAGTACCATTTATTAAAGGAAGGATTGCAATTTTTTTTTTAAAAAAAAATACCCTAGTCGGATTCCCCAATTCCGACTAAGTAGTTGGATTTTTTTTAATTAGAGTCGATTTGTTAAACAAAGGAATACAATTTTTTTTTAAAAAAAATACCCTAGTCGGATTCCCCAATTCCGACTAGGTAGTGGGATTTTTTTTTTAAAAAAAATTCTCTAGTCGGATTCCCCAATTCCGACTAGGTAGTTTTGGATTTTTGGGTAATCTCCAGTCGGAATTGGGGAATCCGACTTACGTTTTTGGGTAACGTGTTTTGGCATGTCAGACTCGAAACTCCCGTTTTTTGGTAATTCTTTCCCAATATGAAACCTGTGCCCTAATATTGTTCCAACTGATCATTAATGATGATCAATAATCTGTAGGAGCTTTTGTAATTGCAACTTGTCGGCGGACATAGGTTCCCCAGTTCATATAAATCCAAAACTTAAAAAACCCATGATTTTCATCGAATGGAAGGCTTATTTGATGGTCTCTTTAGGGTGTGTTTGGGAGTTGGATTTCGGAGGGGAGGGTAAGGTTCGCAGGGGTTTATGACACCCATTTTCATGTTTGGGAGTTTATAAAATTGGATGAGATGATTTTGGAAGGCTTTCGTGACCTTTCAAAACCCTCTAAATGCTCAATTTTTGAGTTCCCCCAATTTAGAGAGTTTTGAAGGATAAATAACGAAATGGTTAAGTTCAACTAAAAATAAATATCAGTTCAATTTTTTGAATTCGTCATCTCTCAAAGTGGTTTTAATTATAATTCATTCAAAAACTCTCTTCTTCCAAATTTATTACTCTCAAATACAAAGAAAGGCTTCCTCACCCTCCCCTTCATTTCCCCTCCAACAACATTAATTCTGTTAGTTTATTCGCGTATAGTTCACGTATAACACACTCAAACGTATAATTTACGTATCAAACATATAATTCACGTATAATACTCTTGTTTATGATTTTTTCGGAAAATACTGAAAAAATAACTTACTTAACGATAAAATGTATAATACACGTACTATACATATTGATACGTATTTTTATTAAAAAACACCATTAAATTGAAGCCCACGGAACTAACGGAAGTGGTACAACTGAAGCGAAATGTCTAGCTACTCAACACTCCGTACTATTTATATTTTTTGGCTGTCTCAATACTATTTATATTGCTTAATTTTTTTATGTCTTATATGTTCGTTAATTAATTGTTTAATGATCATCAGATTTAATAAATTAACTTCTTAAAGTCATAATTCGTTTCGATATTACTATTGTACTACTATTGTGTTACTCTTGTTCTCTACTCATACCAAGACTCCAAGTAGAAAAGAATATTACGGCGCCTCACCAAATTTACGGCCACATTAATATAAAACTATGAAATAATTACATATTTATGATTAAAATAAAAATTCTTTACAGAAATGTGACTTGTGACTAGAATAGTAATTAAATCATAGTAAGATATACTCAATTTTTAAACTTAAGTTACCATGACATTACATTGTAGTAATTATTAGTCATATTTGCGCAAATAAATTTAATTTTAGTCATATTTTTGGAAAAAAAACCATGAACTCAAATTCGTATATATGAAAAAACTATTCCGTAATATTTTAATTGTTGAAGAATGTCGCGCATATGCTAAATTACTCCTTATTCTCATCATTAAATTTGTATATAAGACATGTATTATATGCCGTATTTTTAAATTGTGAAACATTTAAAACACATTTGTATCTTTATTCATTTCACGAACGTATCAAACATATATTTAGCCGTATTTGATATAGTTGTATCGTATTATACACGAACGTACGTATTATCGTATTATTCACGAACTGTATAATACTAACAAATCAACATACCTCTAAAGTATTCCCCTCCCCTTCCCTTCAAACTCCCAAGCATACCCTTTGTATCTTTACACTTTACAGTGAGGCTTTTGTAAGCAACACACACCATGTGATTTCTAAGAGATGAATCCTTATGCCTTTTAGACTCAAAAGAACTTTGCATTATATTTTTGTTGGAAATTTTGAGAATATTTCAAATGAATAAATTAATTTTAATTGTGTTTTCTACACTAATTTAAAAAGTAAATTATAAATATTTTCATATCCATGATCGTTTATTATTAACAATACATATTATTTACTATTAATGCATACATAATTATGTAGTGTATGCATGAACATAATATTCATTTGTCCATAACGGTTCTTATTAATTACTATTAAGTTATTCCATTCATGATGTATTTAATATTAACATTATTGTGCCTAACGTATAAGCCACTAATTGGTGGATTAAATAATTATCATTTGTATATATATACCGATCATGCATTTTGCTACGTTGAGAATTTTGTGAGAGAAGATTACATTCATGTATATACAAAAAGTTGCTACATTCGTGCTCCTATATATAAGGGAAGGTTTAATCTTCATGCTATTTTGATTAAAAAAACATACACGAGTTAAATCATAAAAATATTTTATTGCTGGGCTCATATACTAATTTCTTCTCGTTAGTTCTGGTACCGGTTTATAACCGAAGAGCTCGTTATATCTTGGGGGAAATTTCCGTACGCCGGAAATAATTCCTTAGGACAGCGTCTGACGCGTCTCGAGCCACTAATGTATTTTTAGTTCTTTTTAGTGATTATTTTGCAGGTCAATTAGCAGAGTTAGATGGTCAACGAGGTCAATTGAGGAGCAACACGGTCAACACGTTGAAGTTGGAAGGATAGAGCCATCAATTTTCACTCTACTTTGATAAGAAAACCTTTTGTATATTTAATATTTTCAAAGTTACCATATATAAATATATAATATTGAATCTACTTTAATCTTATTTCCTTTTTTGGTGACAAACAAGAAAAACTAGTTTGTTAAGTACGTGGCAGTGTAAGCTCTAGATTTGGAGCTTCCAATATATATACGGAGTAGTAGTATATAGTTTCCCACTTAATTAAGGTGGCGGAGTTGATATTATCGGGTCTGGTCTGGTCTAGGATTGACAACAGTTCAAATAAAGACATCCTTACTTTGCACTCATATATCCACCGTTAAGTTTGAAATTGAAAATCCTTGATTCAAAATAATTTACTTAGATAATTTTTTACATAAATTAGTTAATTGTTCCTGACACCTAATAGCAAAATATCATAATATAAGATCATAAGATCCTAATCAAAAAATTATAGTAAAATATCATAATATAAGATCATAAGATCCTAATTAAAAAATTAAAAATTATAGTAAAATATCATATATTCGTATAGTATAAGATCATAAGATCCTATCATCCTAATTAAAAAATTATAGTAAAATATCATAGTATAAGATGTGAAGGCAAATCTACTTTAGTATAAAATATCATACTCAGCTTCCATAATCAAATTAATGTATAAGCCAATACATCTGGACATCAAAATAAGAACTAAAAATGTCACGAAGTCGTATTTTTATCATCACTCGGAAATGTTACTTCTGCGCCCGACAAACCGCGAAAAGCATTATTGAATCGCATATTTTAGGAAAAGAATAGCTTGCCCTCTTGAGTGTCTAGATCTTATAGTTTAAACATAGTTGTAATTACAAAGTGGTCCTCTTACCAATTTACCATACATTATTTAAATGCTCATTAAATACCACTATCGTGCAACTACACCACATTCACAATAGTGTCCAATCCTTATATTTGTTTTTTTTAATGTTTATTTTTTATTTATTAGAGCTGATGATAAAGTGCATACATGTTGTCCTCATATATATTCACCTAAACAATTACAAGAAAAGTTGAGCACACAAAAGATAATCAAATTCAACTCCCAAAAAGACCAATCCATTCCATAGCTGGAACAAAATAAAACTTATTATGAATATACATATATAAGATCAATCTTGCTTTCTTTTTATATCCCCATCACGCCAGTACCACGACAACTTTGCTTATAATTTGCATGCAGTGAACTTAGTGGCTGAGGCGGAGCAGTATATTGAGGTGAGCCGATACAAAGAACAATTTTGGACATTTTCTACACAATTTTTTTACTTTAATAATTTAAATAAAACTGAAATTTGGGTTGTGTCCGGGGTTGTTGATTGAACTTGCTATATGGGGTGTCCGATTCCCTGCATGACCTTGTGAGGACTATAACGAGACATATTACCAATACCACAGCCATCGACCCTCCCAAGAAAATTGCCACTTTCTTGTTGCTCATATGTAAATTGACACCTCCCCAATCTACAATAATGGCAAATAGCGTTAATTCACAATATTTTGCACCTTAATTAAGAATAGTCTTTTCTCTTGGAAGTACTATCATTTTTACACTAATATAATTATTGCACCTCGTTACGCTTGCTATGTCTCATATTTTGACTTTTTTGTATTACAAAAGGGAAATTTTAACGAAATAGGAGTAGGAGAAATAGAATTCAAAAATAGGATTATTATATTACTTTTTGCGAAACAAGAGTAAATTATTGGCGTTCTGAAACCATACTGCTATATTTTGACATTGTAAATTTGTAATGCATTAATATGATAATTGACATAATTTTCTAATTACGAGAGTAATTAATTACTCCTACATGGAAGAAGAATATATAGTACTTTTGTTTAGGACAATTTATGTTATTATATTATCCGATCCTACTATACAAAACTAAACTTAAAATTCTCCTAGTGTTTTTTTGGAAGAATCCTCCTAGTTTTTTAAAATTAGTTTTAATAATTAAAATTATATATTAAAAAAACACTAAAATTTATTAAATCGCAAAAATTGGACTTGAATACCATAAAAAATTTATACGAGACACAAACTATGGGTATAAAGAATTTATGTTTATTATGTTGATATTGAAGCACTCAAACCATGCATGGTAGTAGTTGTGTCAGAGAGAATAACATTTGTAGCTTTACGATAGTAGAGTAAGTTTTTATGATCTCTCGAATGTATGAAAAATATACATTTGTTTGGTTTACAAATATTATTCTCTCGGACCAAAAATTAAACCTAAGTTTCTAGCTCCTAACATATACAAAATGGGGCACTAAGATTTGAGTGTATCATTAATGGATTTGTAGCTTTGTATATATGGGCCGGATAATGGTAGAAATAGGTCACCTAGCTAATGACAATTCGATATCAATCAACGTTTTTAACGTGTGATTTACATCGTAAATGTGTTTTTGGTATTCTACACTAATATTTAATCGATAAGTCACAATCAAAATTGTAAGTACATAAAATTGTACTAAGCCACAATTAAACCTACGTATAGTAATCACATAAAGAGCTCGTTTGGTAACATTTAAATCGGTTGAATCGTCTGATTCTGCTGAAATTTATGAAGTTCTGGCTAAAGTAGTTGTATTGGCTGATTCTGTTGATTTATGAGAGAAAAAAATAAAATATACTCCGTAGTTCATTAATAAAATAAAGAAAAAATTATATGAAAATAACTAAAATGATCATCTACAGTAATTTAAACCAATACAGCCTGAAAAGTAACTCCTATTTTATTTTTTCTTATCATTACACAATTCAGTGCGCAAAATCAAAAGTTACATGTTTGGTTGAAAAGTTGACTAATAAGCCTGATAAACTGAAAAACAGAGTGGGAGCTCAAAATCACAGCAAAGTCATATGAATCACATGCAGTAATCGTTTATCTATGGAAATATTTATTTGTCTGGGATGTCAATTCGATCAATTTACACCATTCAGTAGGAATGTAAGATATATCGAATGAGATGATAAATTGGTCAAATTATACGGAGTATTATACGCCGTATGTATTACGTAGCTGTAATACACGTAGATCTAATTAATTATCTCTCATTTCAAGGTTCCCATCTCTTTACCAATTACCATAATTGTCTAATGATTGATAAAATTAGACTTTACGCATTAAGAAATAACGATATACTTCCTCCGTTCTTTTTTAGTTGCAACGGTCAACATTTCACACTTGCCAACGCACATCTTTGACCGTAATTATATCTTAATCTCTATTAGTTAAAAATAATTAAAAATCGGATTTTGAAAATTTGTAATGAGATGAATTGAACAATATCTTTTTTAAAAAATAATTTTCGTAAAATAATACCGTAAAATGTAGTCAAAGTAGAACACGTGAATAGTGTAAAATTCAACATGTTGCGATTAAAAAGAAACGGAGGATAGTAAGTTTTATTGAATTGCAAAAACTAAATTCAAATATGACTGCGTATTATAGGAAGTATAAAGTTAGAGATTAAATGAAATACAAATTGCTCTTAATGGGAGTAAATATGTTTTGAAATTCAAGAATGTGACATTCATGTTTTTATATTCTAAATATCAGTAATTGCTACTAAGTTTGAAAAAAATTGGCGAAAGTTGGCATGTTTAAAGTACGATAATGCCAAACATGACAAAAATTACTTTTATTTAGGGAATTCCAAAACTTTTTTATTCTTTTTTAGGAATTTTACCTAATTGAATGCTCCGCAAACAGCATATGAAAACCAGTGATATAGCTATGAAACCTTCACATAATTAAAAGTCACACTTCCTTATGTTCTAGATAAAAAAATATGAATAAATAAATGGTGCAAGAAGAATAAATATGGAAATTAAAAGAGTATTTAGGGCTTATTTGGTGATCCCCTTTTCAGCTAATCAACCTTAATCATTTGTCAGTTTTTTACCAGATGAATAAGCTTGTAATAAAATAATTAAAATAAGTGAGTCTCTAGTTACTCAATTAGGTGAAGATGACAATTAGGGAGAAGGGGCAATTATACCCCTCAACTATAGTGGGCGGAACATATATACCCTCTAGCTACCATTTGTTAGCTCAAAAAACCCCTCAAACTAATTTAATGGTCTAAAAAGACTCATCCGTTAGTTTTACAGTCTCTTTCCTCCCCATCTGAACTGCTAAACACACTTTTCAAACTAAATACTTCGTATTACGTACTTCGTATGTAAATATATAAGAAATAGCTCTGCGCCAAAGAATAACTCTCCAACCCGTCTCCTTCACAAGTCTCCCATTTTAGCTTTCACTTTAGTGGGTTCAGAGAAGAACTCCCCAATTTCCCTAAAAAAAACTCCCTAACCCTGCAACCCGCCTCCTTCAGGAGTTTGAATTTTGAATGTGCGGAATCTCTGTTAGGTAGTAGCTTCCTGAATGGCATCCTCATCTCTTCCGTGTTCTTTCAGTTCTATCTTTCCAGAAATTATTGAGTGAGTCAATTAGAATAGTAGCCAGATCAAATTAACCCGTCAAATATACTGATTCATTTTGATGGAAATTTCAAACACCGTGGTCGTGAAACTGAGTTTGACAAAAATAGAACGGGGGAAATTAAACTGGGTTGGAGCATTGATCCGTGTAATTGTTTGCAAAGTCTAAAAATAATGTAGGTATTTACAAGAAGAAGAAATTGAGTCACGGTATGTAGTGTTAACGGATGGTTAATAAAGGGGTCTTTTTGTACTTCAAAGTCCATTTTAAAAGTTTTTTGAGCCAAAATATACATTAAGGGTATATATGTTCTACAGGTTATAGAAGAGGGTATATGTGCACCTTATCCCTAATATTTTCTTTATTTTATTAGTAACTACTTTGAGTAATTTAAACAATTTAGAAGATTCAGATCGATTCAGCTAATTTTATATCCATCACTCGATATGATACCATCAAAAAGAAAAACCATCTCTCCATTTTGCATAGATGATTCCACATATAATAAACTTATAAACCAATAGAATTTGGCACAAAAATAGGAGATATATAGATGGAGGAAGTACCATCATGCGAGGTAGGAGAAAAGCTGTCTTCCTTTTTAAGAGTGTAGCTGATAAAACACTTCTGAAGATACAACTGAGCATAACTAGAAGCAGCACCACAGCTACTTCTCAAACTCTGAATTGCAGCATTCAGACACACCTTACATTCATCAACCCTTAAATCCTGTTCACACTGAACCAACACCTTAACTGCAGATCCATTCCCATACTCCCCCTCATAGAACCCATTCACAACCTTCTCCGCCATCGCCTCAAGCGCCTCTATACCCACGCTATCACCGAACCCGAACCCTTTCGCGGTCGATCCCGACGTCTCCTCGCCGCACTTCTTGAAGAGGAACTGAGTGTCTGCTTGATCGAACCCGGACGCGTTGTAGCTCAGGTAGCACCCGACTAGCTGGATTCGGCTCACGGTCGAGTAGCCACACTTTTTCTTGGAGACTTCCAAAGCTTCCTCCACGCAACTTTGGCAGTCGGAGTGGGAGAGGTCGCCTCTGCACTGGAAGAGGCCGGAGAGGGGTGTTGTGGCGGTGGGGACGGTGGCTTTGCTGAAAGTCATGGTTGCTGACTGGGATATTAGGGTTTCGAAGAGGGTTTTTAGGGTTTCACGGGATGAAGAAGAAGAAGCTCCAGGTTGCTGGTCTTGTAGTTTCTGGTTTCCACACCCTCTAAAGACAAGATCCCTGTACTTGGAACACAGGCATAGAACTGGGAGAGAAGTGAGGAGAACTATGAAGAGGAAGCTATGCATTTGAAAATGGCGGATCCCGGCCATTTGTCTGTTTTTTAGAAGTATTTACTAAGTATGTAATACTACGTATAATAATCTACTAATGTACGAAGTATGTATCAAATTATTTAGTTTTTGGTCAAGAAATTAACAACAACTACCCGCATCATATGGCCTCCCAAGCTAACTATATAGAGCATTAATAAAGAGTAAAGAAAAAGAAAACCATCAAAGGGTATCTGCCCTAGCTAGCTAGCAGAGTCATAATGAATTAATGATAAGATTATATTAGGAGGGCTGAGGCTAATTTTTTTTTATTATGGAAGCTAAGGTTTAAAATGTTAAACTTTATTTGACTTTATTATGGAAGCTAGCTAAAGTTTTATATTATGGAAGCTAAAGTTTAAAATGATTAGCAAAGTTTAAATTTTTACATAAATATGTTGATTAGAATTTGTTTTCACCTCTATTTGACTTTTTTCATGCCTATGGCTAGGAAGGTTGAGGATTCCAGGTGTTGTTGGTGAGTTTTCTTGCAAGCTGGATGGACAAAGCAAAACTTTTTGCTTAATTAGATGGAAACCATTCCTCTACGCAGGATGAATTTTCAGTCACGTCATCTGCCCTATAGGTCTGTGGCTTTCACAAATTTTGACTCACAGCAAGGTTTTATATATAAATTGAATTGCTCAAACAAAATTTAAATTTTATGTCTAACAACATATTATTTGATGACATCATGCATGAATCTAACATTATATTATCAAATGGAGGTCACAAATTCCAATGCATCATAATGTTGATTATATGAATTATAAATTTAAAATGGATAGAATTCAGCAAGACAGTGTGGGAGAGGGTCGGACAAAGTCTTTGAATTGGATGACTAAATAAGAAAAAATAGATGAGTTCATGAGGACTACTCCGTATGTGTTAGTGACTTATTAGTGTAAATTTATTCGAAACGTATTAATTAAAGTTTAAGTAATTTGGGTATATGACAAATTAAAATGTATTGAAACAAATTACTTAAGAATTGAATAATTTACGGACTATAAAATAACTCAATATCTAGTTAAGAATTTTAACATCTATTTCGGGACAATTGGAAAAAGGTTTTTTTGTTATTGCTATCTTCGTAAAGGTCATTCATTGACTTGGTGCTGCCTTCGTAGCAATGCGTGCACAAGTGAATTTCTCATTTTACACAAACAAAATAATGCTCCCTATGGACTCCCTATTTTGTGTGCAAAAGTTTTCCTCTTGTACTAGCTACGGAGTATTTATTATAGACAAATTATTATGGCTTTAGAAGACACTAGTTTAAGACCCGTCCAGGTCGATAATTCCACAGTGATCGGATCTATATTCCATTTCAAAAGTCTTTCTTTTTTTAGGAGATTTCAAAAATCTTCTTATATTACGGAGACATATTCTTTTAAAAAGTTAACAAAATTTATTTTAACTTTTTAGTGAGGTTTTCTCGTATTCAAAGAAATTTAGGATTTTTTATAATTGGACTAAAATTTTATGACCTGGTTTTATTTGGTGTGGTTTGGTCTATTTAAACCTGATCTGGTTTGATCAGATCTGAACTAGTCTAGTATGATCTGAGAAATGTATAATCTTTGTGTATTTTACAATCATCGAATTCAGGTCTGGTTTGTTTATGTCTGATCTGGTCTGTTCAGCTGTGATCTAAACTTGGATTGAAAAGTCCACCGTTGTTCATTCGTTTGGGAACAATGCACATGTTTAGTCATATATAGAGTTTCAAGAGCAATATGTTTCTTTTATTATGTGGGGAAAACTTTCTATTTATTTTTCAAGATCAATGTCTCTTTAGAGAATAATAAAGTAAAAATTATTTGATTGAGGTTTGAAAAGTTTTTGGAATAACGAAAGAAAGAAAAATGATTAAGTTATAGGAGATATAGAGGGAGTATATTTCTTTTACTCCGTATTATACTATTATTATGTGGGGGAACCTCTTGTGTTCCGCCAAGGTCGTTTTGTTTCTCACAGAACTTGGTTTTTATCATTGAGAGTTGAGACCATCAGGGACGGATCCAGGATTTCTATTCAAGGGGGCGAAATTTTTCGGTAGTGTAGGAGGTGAAAAAAAATTCGTTAATATAGTGGGGCGAATTTTTTTCCCTAGTGTAGCGGGGCGAATTTTTTCCGCTACTGTAGGGCTATGCGGCTAATTTTATTCAAAAAATGACATTAATACATACACATCCCCAACGACATTTAAATCTATTAAGTAGTACATTCTAAGTTTAAATTAGACGATGACAAAGACATCAACCAATACATTTTTAATAACTACTACATTGTTTAACCTCATGAATCGGTTATTATTGAATTGTAATTTTTGTCCGGCCATCAAGGATGGTGTTCGTGAGTCATGACTCATAAGAAGTTTTCTTAATATTACAATAGTAGTATGTATAATATTATTATTTTTAGAATAATATGCACCACATACACACACATATATGGTGCATATTATATTTTAATATTTGTATTAATGCTATAATAATTTAAAGTTTATTATCTATGCAATAAATTATTTTTAGAAAGCAAGAAGTAAATGAATTATGTAATTTAATGTCAATAAACATTTATATTTTGGATTCATTTCACGTGATCTAAAACTGTGTAATTAGTGTGTCTGATATTTAATATTGTTTGATATATATTTTACAAAATCAAGTACTTGTTATCTAATAAAGATAATTAAACATTACAAAACTAGGAATTCTTATATAATAAGTATCCTAAATCTTAAACACGAGTTATTCTATTGTTTATTTGTTTAAGTTATGTAATTATTTAAGATGTTCCTTCTTTTAAATCTTCAATTAAGTATTACATTATGTAACACTATATATTAATTTTGAAAATTAAAAGCTAAGGGGGGTGAATCTAATTAAATTATGAAAGTTTTATGAAAATATTACATATATGGTAGAAAATTTTGAAATTCCAAAGGGGGCGGTCGCCCCCCCTAAATCCATCCCTGGAGACCATAGCTAAACATACAATGCCAAAACAGATCAAAACAAGTCAAATCCGATATACGGAGTATATAGATAACAATAAACATACTTAAAGAAACAAGATCAGAATGAGCAATATCAAACCGTTTATAACTTGAAGCCTGACGAGACTATATGAGGTTATTACTTACTAGTATTAAGTTAAAATACGGAGTAAGTTTCAATTCAAATAAATTTAGACAGCTTGGTCATTAGTTATTATATTATCTCAAACCTGGGGGAGTGCCGTCTCTGTATGGAGGAGAAGCGGTCTATGCTGTGGAGTTAGGTTCGGAGGTTGAGGATCCAATGTTTTTTCTTCAAGCTAGGGTGTTATTTACGAGTTCTGACGATAATGTGCGATGGGGCGGTGGGTATCTTTTCCGATCTGCTGTGTTTGTTAGAGATGGAGTAGCTCTAAGTGTCGGATCTTTTCCGATCTTTTCAGGAGGGTTTGGGGTGGGGGTTGACCTGTTCAACGAGGATAAGGGTTGGGTTATTGGGCTTTGATTTTTGGGTTGTTTGGGACGCTGGTGTTTTGTTTTTATGGGTTTTGCTGCGGAAATAAACTGGCCTTCGTTCTTTTGGATTTGAACCGAAATTAAGTGTTTGATTTTTTCCAAAATTTATTTCATATGCATTAATTTTTTTAGCCTTTAAAATATTTATCCATTTTTTTTTTCATTTTTTGTGCTGGCAATGAATATCTTTGTATATTCAATAATTAATATATCGTTCGCTTATAACATGTTATTATTGTGTTTTATAGTAGGTATCCGTTGCTTCGGTTTAGGTTATAGAGTAAGACACTTATGTTTTTATTTAAGGACTGATTTTTGGTCGTGTTTTCATTTTTCCACAGAACTCCTTTTGTGTTATACTAGCATTTAATGTCGCGTGTTCCAAATTAATTCAAACTCCGTTAAAAGAATTGAAAAAAACTTAATGTTAATGCATGACACGTATGACGTTTTCTGGTCGTGACGTTCGTTTCGGACCTAGCACTGCTTATATTCATGCAAAGTATTACACTTTTAATTCTTTTCAATGTACTGATTTATAGATTTTTTATTATTATTTGCTTTATGTTTGTGACTTTTTCTCAAAGTATTATTTTTGGGGGTTTATAAAGAAGTTTTCAATAACATTTAGCGTTGCATTGAAAATACTTATATGCCTTGAGTGCGACACGAAGACTGATGCCACTCAAAATGTGATTTATAAAGAAGTTTTCAATAACGTCTAGCGTTGCATTGAATTCAGTTTTTAACATATGTGTGTTGATCTTTGCAAAATTATTTTGGTTCAGTTATTATATTTATATGTTTAATAAGTATGGTTTACGGTTTGTCTTGGATATAAGCTCAAATTGTTTAATAAGTATGTTTAATACTTATGGTGTTGAAAAAATTATGAAGGAAGAAATAATTGGTTAGAAATTCACCAGCCGTGCGATAAAGACAATGTCGATAAGGGCTAGTAATGATGGGGTTTAACTTTGTACATAAATACTACGAGTACTATAATTCAAAGCAATTGAGCAAAGCTATTACTAGCTTTTTAAAAAGATCTAAAAGAGAGTATATACTTTAGGGTAATTCTATTCACAGCACTTGTTTTACTAAATACAGCCACATATTTTCTATAGTTCCAATTATATCCTTAATAATAATAACTTAATACAGCCTCATGTAGTCATGTGTGCAACCCACCATCTAACCTCAACCTTTTAGCTCTTGCAACCACCCATGAATTCTACTACTTCTCAAAATTTTACTTTTGTTTTCCGTTTTTGGCTTCTTTATTCCCACAGCTTCCCCAAGACATCAGTCAGGAATTCAATGGCTTATTTTCATCAGAAAGCAAAAAAAAAAAATAATAATAATGAAATAAATATCTCCGAATTACCGTCTTCCGAACTCCGCTAGGCGCTAGCAATACCCGTGATTCCCAAATTGCTTAAGTTCAATCTTGCAACCAATTTCTTCCTTCTTCAGTGACTGATATACGAGTGAGAGTGAGTAACTTGCAAAGGGAGAAGGCAACTCCATCTAGTCAAGCGACTGGATTCGAGAACCAAAACTGCAGAATCAAGGGCGGAGATCGCAAGGGATAGATGCTGACTGCTGAGCTAGCGACTCTTCTTAGACTTCGAGTAGCCGACTATTCTAATGTTCTGTTTCAGAACTTCCGGTGTCTTTTTCCTCAATTCTTTGTCTTCTTCCTTAGCGGAAAATAGATGTGATTTGCCTACCGGAGTGTATTAAGTTTGGTATTGATAATGACATAATAGGAATAATGAAAAACATGTATCTGTGTTTAGTAAAAAGAGGGCTGTGAATAGAATTACCCTATACTTTACTTCTAGTATGTTGGCGTAAGTGACACCCAGTGACAGGCCACACGGCCCACACGTTAATATCGATCACTAGCGGCTCCAATTGGCAACGACTTTTTTCGGTGGTAGGAACTAGGAAAGTGGATTGGGGTAGAGAAAAAAGTGAAATAAATTTGGAGTTTATAACTATTTTGGTCACTGTATATGGACTGGCGGAACTTTGATGCTCACTGCATGCGTGAGCTGGAGTTGGGCCCAGGTTTAGCTTGGACCTGGGGTGCCTATTTTGCTAATGTTTCTTTTGGGTAATCATGGGGAGCTGCTGGGCCGTTGGGTTGGACATGGGCCTTCACCGGTTCAGAGTCCACGGTAGATGGCGGACAGTTTAGATTGGACTATTTTTGGTGGTGGTTTTTGTATGATACTGATCTGGGGCCTGTCCCGTGCCGAATTGTAGACTTTTTTTAAAATCATCTCTCTTCCTGAGCTTCACTGCAAGGTGGAGGGGGGGGTGGGGTGGGGTGGGGTGGGTTTTGGAGCCGAGGGAACTTACTTCAACATGGTAAACTTAAATCTAACCAACATCACATTTGTTTTCTTCAAATTTAAAAGCCCTGCAAACTCCTTTTCATCTAATAAAATGACAATTATGTAAAAACAAATTAAAGACTTGCCAATACCAACACTCTTGACATTTGTTTGTCCTTTAAGCACACAAAAACCAAGATTACGAAAAAGACAACTATGCTATACAACTCAATGGTGATTCAATGTGGACATAAGCAGACCAAGATATAAAAAAAATATGGAGGAAGATTGAGTGAAAAGCTCTTATAAAGCACTATTATAGCAAAAAACAACGGGGGCCACAAAACTACTCTCAAATATAGCACTAACTAATCCTATGGATCCAACACATTCAACCCAAAGTCCGAACAACACAATGTGCACAAAAGAGAAGATCATCTACTGGAACAAATGAAGTATTTATACAAGCCTAGGTTTTACACGTCAAACTTTAAGGATAAATACACGTGTGGATTAATGTGTAATCCTTGGGATTTCTTGGGTAATGGGGTGTGAGAATCATAATTGGTTTTGAAAACCTATGAACAAAGATTCCACGTTTTATAGAAATTGGAAATTCAGCATTTCATTCATTGCAAAGGCCAATTGGGAAAGTTTTATATGGACCTAGTGAATATGGACCACACTCATCGAGTTCTTTTGCATTGGGCTTTGCGTGTTGTAAAAAATGCTCAAAGACCTTTCAGGGTTACACCATGCATATGAAATAACATCTATACCTTTACATGAATAATATACATCATTATGAGGTGTGTAATAATTTTCTAATACTTTATTCACAAGGATACTTTGCCTGATACTTTATAAAAATAAGAAATGTATTCACAAGGATGATTTCTAAATTCTAAGGTAATCCATGGCAACCATCTAGCATTACTTTGCCTGATACTTTATAAAAATAAGAAATGTACAAGCATTTAAATTTTAAAGCTTACAGTAGAACATGATGCGCTCCATTATATTTCTGGTTTCAGGAGACGGAGCTGTAAAGCTTCCGTGTCGTCATTGACAAGTTGTTCCTATTATGTGGTTTCAACAAAGTACCATCCTGGAAATCTGATGGCATTACAGGCCGAATGCTGCTGGGGTTAAGGGGAAACAGAGTCTTGTAGTAACCATCCATTATAGCTTCCATATTGCAAGTCTCTGCAAGCTTAGGAATCTGCAGACAGATAAAGAAACTCTAATCACACAAAAAATCCCTAAATAGGAATAAAACTTAAAAATAATGATAAATGTATTACTCCCACCGTCCCATTTTAGTTTTCTTACTTTCCTTTTTGGGTTGTCCCCAAATAAATCTCATGTTTCCTTTTTTGGCAAGAAATTTGTGGTCCATATTATTTCACTTTATTCTACTCAAATCACAACCACAACTTTTACTTTTCAACCACTTTATTAATAATTGTGCCAAACTAAAACAAGACAACCATTATGGGGCGGAGGTAGTACTAGAATAGTAGAACAAAAGTCATGGGGAAAATGTGACATCCTTAATGCAATGTGACCATATTGGATCAGTAACCATTTAGTTTCATATCTATTTTTCATAAAAATACTCCGTAGAATTTATTCATTCATAAATGACGAAATAGTTTTTTCTCTTGTTAAGACAAAATGAATCCTATTTTTGACACTAAACAAAGATTACTCATATTTTACTTCTATTTGCGGTAATTTCTTAATAATCTACTCCGTAGTATACGAATTAACTAAGGTTTACCTGATATATGTCTCGCACGTATCCATGCAGATTGTGATACTCTATAATCTTCTTTTTGGAACACTTGAACAACACATTGTACACAAGATCGAACCTAATCAAGGTTGTGAACAAGCACACATCTGCAAGTGTCAACACATCACCACACAGATACCTTGAACTCTCCAAATGACCATCAATCTTGTCTAATGTAACAAACAGCTCTGAAACAGCTTTATTATAAGATTCCTGACTTTGCGCAAATCCACACCTAAAACAAGCAATACTACTTCATCAAACCCATAGGCCATAGAAGAAACCCCCAAACAAGGGATCTTGTAAAATGTGTTATAGTTATATCCACATCTGAAAGTTACCCATGTTTCATCTGAGATAGACTTCTGGAACAAATTGACTAAGTAAAGGGTGGGCATTTATGATTTGGCTTAGTTCTTTTAGTTTAGTTTTTATATGACACCAAAATAAAAAATAAAACATTTTGGTATGGTTCAGTTCAGTTTGATTTTGTTATTCTTTAAAAATATATCAAGGATTTATTGTATTTGTTTCTATCAGTGGTTTTATTCAGTTTCGGTTTGGACCATAATCTAATATGGTTTGGAAATAGTATTTCCAAAATAAATCTGAATTGCATGCGGTTCTTTTATATTTGGATTAGTTTAGTTAGTTTTTTTAGGTCCAACCAAAATACCAAATCAAAATGTATGCCCCTGTGGTTTAGGTTTTTGTTGTTCAGACTCAAAGTACAACTCTTAAATGACACTCTAGCATGCTACTGGCTTTACAGCTTAAATTTAAAATGCTTACTATGACATCACACAAGAAAGCAATTTGAGCATAAAAGCTTCACATTGCATAGATTTTTTTGTTCTGAGTTGGATGTTCAAGTTCTTATATACATGTTGTTAAGTTTTAAAAGTTTTGGAATGCTTTGAATCAAACCACACACAAGCAATTTGAAAAAAGCTTGCTTAAAATACTAAATTACTAACCTATAAACCCCATTGTTGACATTGGGGTATATGATCTGGTTCCATTGGCTGATCTGATCACTCAATAATGGTGGACAAAGGTCTAATTCTGGATTACTGGCAATCCCATTTAACCCAGAATTGAAGAACTCTATAATATCATAGCTCTCGTTGCAAATAACCTGCTTTTTGTCTGAATCCCATAGCATAGGAACGGTTGAGCGGCAATTATAGGCGCCACCGGACCTATAAACCTCCTTGAGGGTTCTAAGGCCATTAGATTTGTCTAAAGTCGGGACAAGCTTATCCCTACCAGAATCCGGACCACCCCGGAACAACCAGGAGCCGTCGGCGCCGGGGCCCGCGATTGAGACGGGAATAGCATCTTCCAGACCCTTCAAAGCTCGGACAATTAGGGTTCTGTGGGCCCAAGGACAAGATAGGCCGACATAAAGGTGCATGTTTCCGCTCGGTGAATTTTGAATGTGGATGCGGAATTGGGAGGCGGGTCGGGTGTA